ACGCCAGGAAGGCAGCTCCCACACCTGGACCCTAGCTATCGACCCATCAACTCATAGACCGGGGACCAACGGCTTTACTTCCCTTCCGAAAGAAGGTGTGATCAGAGATTTTATGCCTCAGAAAAACCCGGTGGCGCTGACTGGGATTCAACCCAGTTCATTTGAAGTGAGAAACAATCACGTGTACCACTACACCACCGACGCCACTTTTAGTGTTTTAGTGACAATGTTTTACAGTGAAAAATATTCAATGTGTTATGTCTTTTTGTCTGTGATCTTGAAATTGTTATCACTAAATGTTCGAAACAAATGAAAAATAGCCTTATTTGCAATGTCTTGATAAATTTTATGTAAATGTCATGATGGTGATGCCGCTTTGGAAGTCTAATGTTTTCAATTTTCCGAAATAAAACAAGGCAAATTTCAAAGGACTTGGTTTCTTTCTAATCTGTTTGGTCGGATTTATACAGATAAACTTAACACGTTTTGTTACGATGATTTTTATTTTAAATAACACGTTTTTTTTAAATAACGCGGGTTACGAGCCACCAGATTCTAAGTGTTTTCTGAGAAGCAAACATGAAAGTGTACTTCGAGTGGGTTCACCGAACAATATGGGTACATACTTTCGGAACAGGAACAACGTGTAGAAGCCGGAAATCGATTATTCCCGCCATTTTGGAATCCGAGATGGCGACTTCCGATTTTTGATTAAATTTCGAATTCCTTACAATATGGGTATTTTCGATACGGGGATGACATGTAGTAACCGGAAATCGGTAATTCGCACCATTTTGAAATCTATGGTGGTGTCTTCCGGTTTGTTAAACACCGTCGAATACCCTACAATATGGGTATTTTTTAAACGGTCGTGTAGAGGATGAAAATCGATCATTGACACCATTTTGGAATCAAAATGGCGACTTTCAGTTTGTGCAAAACTATCAAATACCTTACAATATAGGTATTTTCTGAACGCGAACCACGTGTAGAGGCCGAAAATCTATGGTTGAAGTCATTCTGGAATCCAAGATGGCGACTTCCGGTTTGTGATGAAATTCCGAATATCCTTCAAGATGGGCATTTTTGGAACGGGGACGACGTGTAGAGGCCGGAAATCGATTATTGGAATCCAAGATGGCAACTTCCGCAATTGTAATCTGTTATTAATATTATTCCATTTACAGGAATTCTATACATTGAACAAGATGTGATACCAGCGACTTGGTTGTAGAATGCATGTAGCACTAGGGGTTTTCTAACAAGTGATAATGGCCTCACTAGTACCTAGCATAACTGGAACTGGAACTCACCTAACATAATTGGAACTGGAACATAACTGAACCGGATTCTCTAGTCAAACAGTGGAATTCAATTTGAAGCTGCATTTAAAGGGTTTACTGGTAGCTACAGTTGAAGAGTTCATAACTTAACACCCACGATGTCCAATAGGCTAAAAACCGATTTCATTAACAAGGATGCATCGTTCACTGTGTTTCATTCAGTTCTAAGATTTGTCTTTGTGATTGACAGACTTTCGCACGATATTGACAAAATTGTTTTTCACATAGTCACTAAAAGACTTGATCAACAAAAAAAACTTCGTCAAAATCTCATTCATTTTTTCGTCAATGACAAAGATTAACATAGTAACAAAAACTGTAATTTTGTGTAGTCTGTGTCACATTATTGTTATCCTAGCAGTTCAGGACGTAGATGCTTGTTCACTTTAACGGCTCCATGTAATTCTTTTGCTCATGTCACTTAATTTCGTTACACATTTAGCGAACAAAAAAACTGCACATGTTCGTCACTGACAGCGTTGTCATTGACAATTGATATGGTTTGTCTTGACGATGACTGTTATCTCAAATGAGTGACCAAACCAGCATTTTGAATATCCCTGTGTAATGTCGAGATTTTTCAGCACTGGTTTCAGTACCAGCAACAATTTCAATTCCCGTTCCAATTATGTTAGGTAATATTGAGGCCATTACCACTTATTAGAAAACATCTATTGCTACATGCGTTCCACATGTCGCTGATATCACATGTTGTTAAACATTTAATGAATACAATTCCTGTAAATGTAATAAGATTAATTATTACGCATTTCGCATAACTGCTGTTCTAAAAATAGCCTCATAGGGGAATGGATGTAATGTCGGCCTAAATGCCCCTAATTTGGACCCATACAAAAATTCAGCAATCGACTAAATTTTCAATAGCGACCAAAATATCAATTAGTACCGTCCCAATGACGCGTTCATCTAGATAAAATTGATAAATAGCTGATTTTTAGCGATGGGCTCAATCTAAGATCCATAGACCAACATTAGAGCCAATTCCCCTGCTAGAAAAAAATAAAAAAATAAATAAATATCAAAGTTCTATTGCCAGTAGTATGTCGATATGACACTCTATTGTAAAATGTTGCACTTTCTTACATTGAAGTGGCAAATATTAATATTTATTGGACTGAGTGAAAAAACTCTGAGGGATTATTTTTAGCGCAGTAGTTTACTTTGGTACGAAAATAAACGGGTTGCATAAAACTTTATGAAGTCTTGACGTTTTTCGGTTTCAGCAGTTTATTTTAATGATGCCCAAAAATCAGGTTGCTCAGTTAGAAGCAAAGCTTTCACAACGTGCATATTTGATTGATAGTCTTCAAAGAACAATCCTACATTGGGGAAATGGCTCTAATGTTGGCCTATGGATCTAAGATTGGGCACATCGCTAAAAATCAGCTATTTATCAATTTTATCTAGATGAACACGTCGTTGGGACGGTACTAATGGATATTTTTGTTCGCTATTGAAAATTTAGTCGATTGCTGAATATATGTATGGGCTCAAATTAGGGGAATTTAGGCTGACATTACATCCGTTTCCCCTACGTAGACTGATCTCCGTACAAACTATTGTGACCGCTCAAAATCATCTGGAACATATTGCACCATGCGAGATGAAATGGCCGAATCCCAGCACAAACCTGGTTCATTTGTTCCCACCGAACAATTACAATTGTATTCAAAATTTCATAGAATTCTGAGAGGTAAAATCTAAAAATCGTTTATATTTTCGCTATTTGGTGTGCAATGCTCCCCTGATGCATTCACGATGATTGGGATTTCGAGGTAGTGTATATGTACCGTGATGTACCCTAATACTAATGAGCGCCTAACTCCTTTCACGTGGGTCTAAGCGTTGAATATTAAGCCGATTTGTGGTGAAACATCAGTAAAACTATGTATCTTAGTGTTCACACTACCGCTGCGCAAGGTTGCAAAGACTCATTTCAGCTAAAACAATGTTTTTCTAAATTATGAAATAATTAGATGCCATGATTAAATTTTGAATTGGTAGGATACAAGAAGAGGTTGCAAAGAATGTGTTTGACATATTAAACCTGTTTATTTCACTTCATGAGAGTCACAATCAGCGATTTTTCACAAACTCACTCACTCACTCACTCACTCACTCAGCGATCAGCAAATCGCTGATTGTGACTCATAGAATGCAAAATTTACAAGTTTTATGTTTCCAACGCATACTTTGTAACCTCTTCTTGTAAGTTACAAGTAAAACATGCCATCATACCATCTTTTGGTTTTATTATTCCGAAAAACATTATTTTAGCTGAAATGAGTCTTTGCAACCTTGCCGCTGCGTTATAATATGAACTGAGCATCCAGAAGGCCTAATCATGAACGAAAATTTTCTAAGTGATCAGGGTATAGAAGTACAGACAACATTTTCAAGCACACTGGTCAGATTTTTTTAGTTCTTAAACTTAACAAAATCTATAACTGTTCTAAAAATTTGTCAAGATTGGAAATATGATCCTGATTTTGCGAAGCCTCTAAATATCTGAAAATATTTCAAGTCAGGAAAATGATTGGTTCTATCAAATCCTTCACAGAATAAGTGTAGCTAAATTTCCTGCGATTTCCCTCGCTAATAATAAACAATCAATCTTGCCGGCATTATTCCACCCTCTTAACGTCAACACATTACCCATTCCGAGATAAAAGCACTCATAACCCTCCCTCAAACGATGCAATTGCAACAATTTACACTAGGTTGAATTTTCAGCACCATTAATTATGAATATTTCCCGCCAAACCCATCCTCTAACAAACCATATCGTTCGTCTCCACTGCCACCAGTTACAAGCTGCATTATCCAACCACCCACACTCGCATTCGCGCAAGATATAGTTATCATTTTATCATAATTATTGTCATTGCTCCCGCCACTATAGAGAGAGAGAGAGAGAGCACTTCACATGCAGTTTGCGATAATAGTTTTCATTTTGCCGTTTTCCTACCGATCCAGCCTTCCACAATGGATACACATTTGCATCGAATGCTGGACAATGCATTTCCATAACGTTATGTATACAACCTAACATTCGCAGAAAAACTCGAGAAAATACGCTGCAGCTTAAAACTGTTGCTAAATAATCGCCATGGGAAATCATTCCCATCCTTGTGCGTGCAAGTAGCAGCGGAAAAATTGTCACCTGACCCAGGGTGACTGTCGCTATTAATTGTTTTCGGGATTCCATCAGTTACGTTGATGCAGCGCTGCAGTTGTTATTTTTAGCAAACAATGAACCAAGTCCAGGAAAGAGGAAGCTCAATTTAAATTAGAATTAGCATAGTGTAGATTATTCTTTGCATTCATATCTGGGGGAGTGACATACTTAAAATATGCCAGTTATGCGCGTGGGAGTTGTCTAGATGTCTGATTTGCTGAAAGGTCACCAGTTGAAATTGGCTGACGGTCAGTCAGTTGCATTTTAAATTAGTAGCAGAGCTTATCTGTGGAACTCAATAACTTCAATTCTCAATGTTGATTGATGCATAGAAACAGACTCAATTGTTCTTGATAGCGATAGTTATCAAGTGATAAAGTAAAGTGCACTTCAAAGATATGACTAATAGACGTTTCGAGTGAATTTTTCTTAATTTTATATTTATTTCGTCATTTCAGGCCTTGGAAAATGGATCACGGCGGCGGGGATGATGAAGCACCGACAGATCCTCGGCTCAAGAGCAGCACGTTTCCGGAACACCCTGATTATGAAGGTAAGCCTTGTTCGTGTCCTACTTGTTCTGTCTAGAAAATGAGCAAACATTTAATCTAAACAAACACGGTCGTAAAATTGCAGTAAATCGTTTAGAAATATGTATTGCAACTCTCTGATCGCTGGGTAAATATTTCTCTTGTGTCCGTGTTTACACCCAGCGAAACGTTGTTCATCCACTTAGCTTTTATGTGCCATCTCATGCCGGCTCGTCGACACGTATTTCACACTTGATATCGCATTTCCCTTTCATTGATTAAAAAGCGTTCCGTCCTATTACCCCTTCACACAAATGGAATCCAAGAAGTTGATAAAGTCAAGCACAAACGAATGAATTGGATCCATTCTGCTGAAGTGGCAACAATGCCTTTCCTATCAAATCGCTTCCAAGACTATTTCTTTCCTATTTGCAGTAGGTTGTAAGGTATCGATTACGATATCAATCAAAACCTTCCGCTCCACCAAATCGTTTTTATCCTATACCAACACCCATAAAACCAGCTGTTGCGATGAGCAGCACCATGTCACCAGTGCACAGTGGGCGACCCCATACAAAAACCGATCATAACAAAACAAAATGTTTAAAGTCGTAACCAACATACTTTTTAAGCAATTTGATGCTCCTGAATTCACATTTTGCGATCAAAATGATGTAAAAAAAATAACATTCTAGGGTGGTTCTAAATGATTTATTATGATTGCAAATATCATGTAAAGTTGAAAATAATTATGGCATTTAACATTTTTAGCGCTCTAGAGCTGAATGGAACTGAATTTCTTGAAAATATTCAATTTTAACATAGAAGCAAAAACTTGACCAAAATTTGGTCCGGATATTTAGAAAAATCTTGAAAACCCCCTTCAGTCAGCACAAGTACCATATTGACGCAATTGGGCGCAATTTAGTTATAGATGTCTAAACATTATTTATATAAAATAGTGATTTAGCCATAGAATAGCTTAGGTAAACAATGCTTATATCAGATTATAGGTCATTTTATTGCATAAAATGTTAGTTCTCTCGTCAGGGATGAGAAAAAATGATGCCATTGAAATCAACTATCCATATACATTGAATTTCTGAAATGATCATGCCTTGGACAAAAATTTACTATTTTTCAACGCATTTTCATATTTACCGGAAGTTGGCGTGGATTTGGTTAGTAGAAATGTTGAACGATTTTGATAGATTTTGGCTCCTTCTTTGATCCGGTACCAGTTCAGAATTTACCCAATTTGGCTTAAACTGGCCCTTAGCCTTCAAACTGATCGAGATATTTCAGAATTTTGTCCAGCTTTTGCTACGAATCGCCCCACTGTGCATGCGGTTGCGACCGCTTCGCATTCTATAATTACTATAGGCGATTTTTATCACGCGCTGGAAATAGTACTTTGATGAATAAAGTATAAATTTAACTTCGCAGCGTACTGGAACGTGACATCTTGATGATGCGATTGCTTACAATTGATTCATTATGAAGAAATTAATGTACAAAATCAGACCCTGCAGAACAAAGTGCGAAAACGGCCGGCAGTAAATTGTCACAACTGCACTAGGCATCGTCCAGGAAATCGCAAATTATTTTTTCGGTGAAATTTATGGCAAAAGGTAGAAACACAAAAAGTTGCAGGACAAAAGGTCAAGAAGTCGACAAGACAAAAGGTCAAAATGTAAAAGTGGTTGAAGTGGACAACAGATCGAAAAAAAAAACAAAAGGTCAAATGAAACTTAAATGATAAAATGAACATAAAGTCGGAAATCCATTTATCTCCGTAAATATGGCTTTAATCGTGATTAAGTGCTCGAAATATTGTAACCCGTTTTCACCCCAAATTCGGCATAAATCACTATTTGGGTTTTCCAAATCTTTAAACCCATGCATCTCCGTAAATATAGCCTTAATCGCGATTTGAAAGGTGTTAGGAATTTTGGTACCCGATTTTCAATCCAAATTTGGCCAAAAACCCTATTTGGGAGTTCCAAATCTTTAACCCATTTATCTCCAAAAATATGGCCTACATCGCGATATGAGGGGTGTTAAGGTGTTCCAAATTTTGGTACCCGATTTTCATCCTCAAATTTGGCCCAAAGAAAAGGTTGCAAAAAATGTGTTTGGCATATTAAACCTGTTTATTTCACTTCATGATAGTCACAATCAGCGATTTTTCACACACTCACTCACTCACTCAGTGATCAGTAAATCGCTGATTGTAACTCATAGAAAGCGAAATTTACAGGTTTTATGTTTCAAACGCATTCTTTGTAACCTTTTCTTGTAAGTTACAAGTAAAACATGTCATCATACCATCTTTTGGTTTTATTATTCCGAAAAACATTATTATAGCTGAAATGAGTATTTGCAACCTTGGGGGAAACATTGTCAATAATATTGATGACATCAAGTTATATTGTCATTTTTATTGTCAATATCAATATATTGAATAAATTCAAGGTAACATTGACAACAACACTGCAACACTGCGTACAACAAAAGATTTAAGATTCCGGTCACACGACACAAGTCGAACCCCCATTATAAGTCGGATCGCTAAATCCTCCTCAGGACTTCGAAAATGTTTGAGACTCCGAAGTCACTTAGGATTTTTTTTAAAGTAAAAATCAGTTTGCATACTGAAGTTCGAACTTTGTTTACAGGGGGAGAGGTAGCTCATCGTTTCTTCCGGTTCGCCTCCTAGCATCGTGCTATAAGGTACCAGGCGATAACCAGGGTAGTTGATCGATAGCTCGATGACGTCATTTCGTTGACGTCTGCAATTGGAAATTCTCATAGCAGGCGTTGACGATGGGACGTTGTCGAGTTGTTGAATAGCAACTATCGTGGTAACTCACCGATTACCTGTCGATCTACCAAATTTGGAAAGACGTCTGCATTGAATTGTCTCATATAATAATATTCCGCCCACTATATCACAAGAAATTGCGAGTAGCTGAGTGGAATGGAGATAAGTTAAGCATTGGGTACAGGACCAAGTCTCCCCTGGGTGGTGCCAAAAGATGAGCGCAATAGAATCATCAAGTTGCCATAAGGCACGGAATGAGACTATTGCATGGCTGGGTAGTCAAAGTCTTCCATTCGTTAGTCATTTCAGGTGGATTAGAACAGGTTTAGGTGGGCGTTGGCCAGATTTGGATTTTTCAGATGTAATCCTGGATAGAACCCTGTCATTGAACGTCGCGTGTAAGTGGAACTTAATGAAGGCCTAAGTACTTTTTCGTAGTTTTTAGTCTTCGGATTTGAAAGATCGTCGGTTACAGTGGCCTGCTTACTGAGCAGAAAAACGCGGTCCCAGGTCCTTACATATCAAAGAGATTTATGGTAAAATCGTTTGTGTATCGCGTATTTTGCGAAACTCGTTGTTGTCGTTGGTTCCGGGTTTGAATGGATACACAAATTTGAGCAACGGTATTATGTGATATGAGGGGCTCGGTGGCCTTAGAGCAACCGTTTTTGCTTACTGAGTAGAACATCATGAGTCTAATCTCAGGCCCATCCACATTCAAGATTCGTCAATCGTTTTATTTGTTAATATGACTACATGGTAATAACAGCAACTCGGTGATTAAAAAGGTGCTCGTCTGCCTAGTGGCAAACGTTTTTGCTTACTGAGCAGAAGACCGTGGGTTTAGTCCCAAGCTCCTTCGCGTTATTTGATCGTTAGGACATCAATTCAGCTTATCGTTTACCAAAACGAACCCTGCTGCAAACCCAACCCTCTTATCCAACATCCCAGTGATTCCTCGTGGAAGTGCAGAGGTGTTCTCGGCTTCCATCAAAGCGAGTGTCATGTCAACACAATCCTTCCCATTCCTTTCTTGACCTGTGTTCGGCCGCGGCCGGCGCTGGTATTGCCTAATTTAAGATCACCAGTTTTTACACATTGAGGATGATTGCTAGTCCCAAGCATCGTCTATTGGTTCTCTGTGTAATTACAGCTGATCTGGCAGTAACAGAGTAGCAACCGTGGGCGGTCAATCAAGCTCAAGCTCAAGCTCTAATGAAGTTCGAACTTTGTTTACATTTGATGACATCGGAAATGTTGCACAATGTAAGGATTTCAAAAAAATCAGAAATGATTACAGCTTTCCCCCGAAGAACGCGTTACCCACTGAGTTCTACCCACCGCTTTGTTTCGGTGGGTTTTCAACCAAGCGCTCTGATTTTCTGCGAGTGACTAGTTCTCCATTGGCACTACTCACATGCGAAAAATCAGACCGACTGGTTGAAGCCCCACCGAAAAAAAAACCAGTGGGTAACGGATTCTTCGGGAGATAGCTGTATTTACAAACCTTAATTTAGCAGACTTCGATCAATCATATTTTGACATTGCAATCTAATTCCCGGATATTTCCCAGTTTTTTTCGATTCCCGATTAATTCCCGAATGAGTGACTACCGTGCTAATGGCGTTCAGCCTTATGGCGTTCGGCCTAATGGCGTTCGGCCTAATGGCGTTCGGCCTAATGGCGTTCGGCCTAATGGCGTTCGGCCTAATGGCGTTCGGCCTAATGGCGTTCGGCCTAATGGCGTTCGGCCTAATGGCGTTCGGCCTAATGGCCCTACACCTCCGAACACATCTTCGGAACCGAATTCCTATGCAAGGAACCGGAGATATGCAAAAAGGTGACATCGCAGGGATAGGAGACCTTAGGCCAAACACCTACTGACTTCGAAAAGTATAACTTGTTATAGAAACCAACAGAGAAAGCTTAAGAACTGGTTTTACGGCAACGACTTTCAGCCGCTCAGGATGTAAATCTTTCACGTTGGCCCTATGCACCACTAGGGGTGCGCAGGATACATGCATGAGCGAATGAGTGACAGTTAACCCTATGCTATGATCCAACAACTATACATGTTACCTACAGCACCTTCCTATAAATACACAGATGCAATCAATGACAGCAGAAGCTAACTACCATACCAATTGAATATATATTGATTTATGATTCCCCCTTTTCACGCTACCATTTATCGCTGAACAAATCTGCATGGTTTGATTGAGGTCATGTCGATCATAAATTCAATCAAAGATAACACAGTGACAGTCGCAAATCGTTAAAAAGTGATAAATGTACGTCTCTGCTACAGGTTTCGAATCAATTGCCTGCAAAAAACTCACTTTTTTTTCTAGAATTATGACTCTCCTACGATGAAATTATTTTATAGCCACAATCATATTAAGTACCACCGAGATTTAAGGAAGCCCATTATCGCGAACATTAAGAAATCTGGTCCACCCTCTAACACCCAGCGTACATATATTTACCTGCCACTGATAACATTAATCAATCCTGACATGATGTGTTTACCTCCACTCACATGCATGCACCTATGAGGAAATAGGTAAACGCAGCCATCAGTCAAGATCCGCTTGCATATGGGGGAAAGATTGCAAAACGATAAGCCGGCAGGAGCCGATGACTATATAATTGTATAGACTATATCTACTTGTTGACCAGGGAGAGGTGTTGATTAAAAACGATTACCTCGGGAAATCTGACTTCCCACGTACCAATCAGCAGGGTGGAAGGTTCTCTGGAATGCTCTAATGGATCTGTTAATTGAAATACGATCGTTGTATGTACATTGTTTAAGCAGTAGAAACGGTTTTTCTTTCGAGCATTACGTCTCGCCGGGTTCTGCTACGATAATTGTAACACGTGTCATGAAACACATACCGCACATTAATTTGTATCGACGTGCACACGGTATAACCAACATTTCTGACGATATTACATTTACTTTTACAGGTCACCGAGCACACACGGTTTTCGTTGGCGTCCACATACCGGGCTCATCGAGGCGCCACTCGCAAAGGCGTCGCCACAAGCACCATCAGACGAGCAGGGACAATGGTGACAAGAGCTCGGCCAGCACCGAATCCGATCGACCAGGTAAAGCAATCGAAATTTCCTTTCGCGGTCATCATCACTCTTTCAGCTGTAAATTCAAAATTTTACACTAATTCACCCGTAATTCAGATCAACGATTTCGAATTGGTATTCATTTAGACATAATTTGCGTCGAAAATGACCCGTCTCGGCTGTAGGTAGCTGTCATCCCATGTCCAGTAATGTTAAGGACTAGCTCATACCATTCTTACTAATCCTATTTACTGTGTTTTCTTTTCCTTTTGGTAATTTAAAAAAAAAAAACAAACAATTCGACAAACTATCCGCACTTCGCAAAACGAAACTAACAGCTATCTCCATGCCTCACATTGTCACGCAGCGTAGATTCAGTGTCGTTGATGACGGAGAGTCTTGTAAGATACACTTTTTATTGCTAGAACTGTTCACTTTTTTCCATTAAATGTTCATTCTTTCATACACAATTATTCAATGTTTAATTGATTGTCTTTAGAATCATTCACGTAAACAAAACTCGCATTTCATGGCCTTTATAAACAAATAAAATTGTTGAACTGTAACTATTTGCACCCTTTAGAATATACTCAAACCATTTTCATGTTCCAGCTTTTCCAATAATTAAAAAACCTAGAATTTTCCAGATAGAGACATTTAAAGTGGAATCTGTTCCAAAAAAATGTTAGTAAATCTCAGCAAACACCTTTCTGTTTTGCTCTAATTTATGAAACAATAATTGCTTCATTTCAATATACATACAATTTCGAGTTTAGCTTGATCATACACACTCTAATTAATAATACATATGGTATTAAGTTTGACTTGCTGAAGATAGGCGGTAGAGACGACTTCCTCCACGGATTTCAACAGTTTAATCAAATAGAATGTAGCTTTGAGCTATGCTTTGAAACATACATAATTTCATGCATACAATTCATAAGAATCTTTCAAAAATAGAGTGGAGATAAAAACTTAACAGATTACATGTACATATAGGTAATACGTACTCATCACTGTGAGTAGATAAAAGTATTCTAAATTGATTGATGAACGTTTTAGTAGAATAATTGTTTACCATATTACATTATTTTTTCCTTGTAATTCTACTACTATTTTAGATCAAAGATCAAAGATCAATTGTGGAGTGAGTCTCTTATCTTATCGATCTAGTATTTTCAGATGAATTAATAAAAAAAAACAATTGCTTAATCTAATATGCGTAGTTGATGAGGGGGAGTGGGGCATTACTACACCGTCACTCATATCACTGAAAGTAAAGCTTCAAACTGAAATAACTTCTGAATTTCTTATCTTATCGATTAGGTGTGTCGATCTATTTGTTCTTATCTTATCGATTTAGTATGGTTAGATGAATTATTAAAAAACAATTGCTTGATCTTATATGCGGAGTTGGTAAGGGGGGAGAGAACGAGCTTACTACACCATCACCCTCCCCCCCCCCCCCTTTACTCATATCAATGAAAGTTAAGATTCAAGCTGAAATAACTTCGAAGTTTCTAATCTTATCGATTTGGGAAAAGATAGGTGAATTCGACAGTGAGCATGCATAATGGCGTGAAAACGATGATCGATTCTCTTAGTCAATTTTATCTTTTGTTAATAACTCGCTAGAATTAACGTTTCTCGGTGCGTTTGCTGTTACAGTTGATAGCTAATACAACCTGTTACAACTCTGCATTGAACAAATTCTAGAAAATTGTTTCGCTTAGCTGTAGCAATGCAAAGAGAAAATCGATTAAGAGAACCGATCATCGCGTATACGCCCTTATGCATGCTCACTGTCGAACTATTCAAAAATAATTGATCGATCTCACAAGCGTAGTTAGATGGTGCTTACTATACCCCACCCTCCTTTTTCATATCAATGGAATGGAAGTAATGCTTCAAACTGAAACAACTTGGGTGTTTCTCATCTTGTCGAGTTGGTCTGTTAAGAAGTGTTATTCAGAAACATTTGCTCAATCGGCGTAGTTGAGTAGGAGGTGGTGGGTTACTATAACCCCTTCGCCTACCAATTATATCAATAAAAATAAAGTTACAGACTGAAATAGCTTCGGAGTTTCCCATCTTCTCGAGTTGGTATATTAGAATGGATTTAAAAAAAAATCTTAACTCAATTTCATATTCGTAGTTCAAAAGGGCAGACCATTTCCTTCATCTGTTCTATAAAAAAATAAACAAAAAACGAGCCATCACAACTAATTACATTTTATCAGTGGTCAATAAATCACATTTCCTGTGCGACGATTAATTCACAAAAAAACAGAAAAGAAAAAAATAAAACAAATCAAAAACAGGAAAAATAGAAAAATGGCTTCACGAGTTTCGTCTAAGACATAAAGAAAGTAGGTACAGTCAAATTCAGTGTGTTGCCCTAATAAAAGATTACCTAACTGATAGAACTATTCCACAAATGGTTTGGATGATACCCGGAACACGTCGCTACGCAAAAGAACCATAACCATTTTATTGGGGTGCGGTATCTTTAAGTGGGCTACGTTTTAGTTGGACTTCCATTAGTTGGTCTGTAGCCCACCTAAATCATAGTCAAACGTAATTTCTGACGTTGTTGATTCCTTTTAGAAATTTCGACCGACTTCATGCGAAAACGCAAACGAGTAGAGTAATGATACAGATTATTGCAATGCGATACAACGAGTTGCTTCCAGGATGATTGTCAACGATGTGGCTGAAAAGGGGTGAAGCTAATTTCTGACTTTATCAAGAAATCCAGACCCAGTTCAACATCTAAGAGATCGTAGAATATATTAAACTGAAATATAATCATACAATCCCATAAGATTTGCGTGAAAACGTCTGATGCTGTATATTACACCAAAAATTTAGGGAAGGAGGAGGGACTACTCACTTCCAAACCACTCCTATGAGATTATTGAAATGGGTTTGAAAACCCAGAAGATGGGAAACTCCGAACTTATCTCAGTCTGTAACTTTACTTTCATTGATATAAGTGTGGGGGTGGAGGGCATACAGCTGCGCCTATTAGATTTAGCAAATAGATTTGAATAACACATCTGAACATACTAACTCGACAAAATGAGAAACACTGAAGTTATTTCAGTTTGAAGCTTAACTTCCTTTGATATTAGTAAGAGGGATGAGGGTATATTAAGAACGCCTTCTCTAACTACGCTTATGAGATTGAGCAATTGTATTTGAACAACTCAACGGAATATACCAAATCGATAAGGTAAGGAACTGCAAAGTTATTTCATTTTGAAACTTTACTTCCATTGATGAGAGTAATGGTGGCGTTGTGCGGAGGGGGTATGGCCCTTCCAACTACGCATATGAGATAGAGCAGTTGTTTTTGAATAGTTTATCTGAATGTATCTAATCGATAAGATAAAAAAAAACTCCGAAATTATATCAGTTTGGAATCTGACTTGACTTGACTCAATTGAAATTAAATTTTTGAACAGTTAGAGGAAATGACTCTAAGATTGGGCTCATTGCTAAAAATCTGCTATTTATCTAGATGAACGCGATGGGACGGTACTAATGGATATTTTTGGCCGCTATTGAAAATTTATCCGATTGCTGAATTTATGTAATTTATTTATGTTAGGCAAATTTTGACAATAAATTTTAAAGATTTGGGATATAGAAACTTTTGTAACACCTCAAATTTTTACAACTCTGATAAACCTTCACAAGTTTTATAGATAGCAGTCTAAGAAACAAATTTCATTATTCTGCAACGAGGAAAGTTTTCCAAGAAGGAAAGATAACGGGCAAAGAAAATTGTGTATGTGTCTAGGACTTAAAATCTCGATCTCTAAAAATTATGATCTTTGACATGGTTTAGTTTTCTAAAATCTGGTCTAAGAAATTTGTTGATTCCAGCTTGCAAGTCCGGAAAATACAATACAATTATTAAAGCAAAGAATTCAAAAGTCTGCGGCATGATTTTTCTTGATGTTTGGATGAATACTAAAGCTACCGAACTTCAAGGATTATTCAACATTCTAGTCTTTGAAAAAAATATCTGGATCATGAAAATGTTCCTGCACCATTTTTCGGAATCTGAAGCTTGGAAATAGAAATTTTATTATCTAGTCTGAACAAATTTTGAAGGCTTGAATTTCTATATGACGGAGTGGAAAAAAATAAAAATATTCCATCAACACCAATTGGACAGTTATGGTCTGTTCGCAACTATTCTTTGTCGAAATTTATACGCTGAAAATATCGTTCAATTTGAAAATTGTTGAGCGAAGCAATGTTTGGGGAATCCTTAGAGCGAATCATATACTTTTGAAAATTTGAAAATTTTTGAGCTAAGCAATGTCTGGGGAATCCTTAGAGGGAATCATATACTAAAAATAGAAAGGTATATGCATACCTTACCTTACCTTACCATACCTTAGGCTGATGCATTTTATTTATATTTTACTACAAACTATTGCAGGGGCATAACAAACTTCAGCCCTATTCTAAATCGCCAATAAAACGTCTATAATTGCATATGGGACACCCTAGACTAATGGGTCGTCATTAGAATTCAATCATTTCCTATTCGGTCCGTTCCAATTTCGATCCTCTTTGATTCAATCATCACAACAAACTCTCATGCCCATTACAAATATTATTCGCTATCCGTATACCAAGCTGACATTTATAACGTATTAGCTGAGCACATTTCCTCGCACGCGACTACCATTTAGAATGACAAAACTCAACTGTATGGCTTTCCGCCCTGGATCCACGATCGGTTTTCGTCACATATTCTCGTTTACTCTCCGGTGCAGTGTGCTTGACAGATTTTCAATTTAAATTAATTCACGTTCCTCTCGATTCTCCCCCTACCACTGTAGTTACACCACCCGCACAAAGAGTCCAGTTCATTCTGGGAGGCGAAGTCGGCGACGACGGCAACCATGAGTCACATCCACTGTTCTCCGAGATGGAGGAGCTGGTCAAGGAAGGCGACGAAATGGCCTGGAAGGAGACCGCCCGGTGGGTCAAGTTCGAAGAGGACGTCGAAGAGGGCGGCAATCGGTGGTCCAAGCCCCACGTGGCGACCCTCTCGTTGCATTCGCTCTTCGAACTGAGAAGTCTGCTGCTCAACGGCTCTGTCATGCTGGATATGGAAGCCGTCAGTTTGGAGCAAATCGCCGAGTTGGTCTGCGAGAATATGGTTAATGCTGGCACGTTGCCCATCGAGGCGCGGGATAAGGTTATCGACGCGCTGCTGAAACGACACAAACATCAGCACGAGTTCGGCAGCAAGAAAACGCGGCTGCCACTGATCCGATCGCTGGCCGATATTGGCAAGAATCACTCGAGCTCCAAGAGTAAGTATTCTCATTCCCTCCTACTAGGTGATCGAAATTGCTGGACTTGTAGTCCACCGGCCTATACCTATCAGCGTAGATATAGGTTCATTTGAATCTAAATATTTAGTCTATATCAGAAATGTGATAAATCAATCGTGAGAAGTGTGTCGTCGAATGCAATTGAAAGAGAATTCAAATCTTCACAAATCCGTTCAGATATGCGTCGTTCTTCATCCACCGCCAATTCATACCCAATGCACGTCGTCTCATCGGCACCGGGGATGCACGATGACGTTGGTGAAGCAGCACCGTCAGCACTCACCGCACTGCTCGGTGGATCTTCCAAAGATCAGCGGGGTCACTATCTAGCACTGCCAACAGGTATCTATGAAAGCGGGGTCCCACTATACCTTTTCCTCCCAACTGATTCGGGGATACACATTTCTGTTCTGTTTCCGACCTCTAGAGTAAACTACGCCAGAGCTTGCACCATTCAATTGCTTTCCGCATCATTGCAGCAGGTGGAGGTTCTTCTGTGTCAACTTTCACTACGTACATGTATAGACTGCACCCTCTAGCAAGTAACACAACAAGGATAAACGATATAACCTATTTGTAGTTGGTTCGGTTGGTTGGTGGTAGACTTCTCTATATGGATTGCTCGTCGTTAGTGCTCGAGCAAGCAATCACTAACGCTTACACACAGTATCAGCAGCAGATAATCAGATTTAGGCTCAATTTGCTTGACTAGTGTACATTCCGGGCGGTACGTCACGCGGAGAACAACGAACTTGTTCTTCATTGTAAAGCCACAAAAATATTCTTTAATATTTAAGTTATCATTCTGCAATACTAATACATAGCTTGTAAATGTGAAATACGGGGATGGTTTATTGATTAAATTACGCCGGGATGCTGGCATCATGTCCGTTTGAAGAAGTGTTTCGAACTGATCTTTTGCACAAACTGAAACGCAATCAATGTAAAACATCATCAAACTGTCATCAATAATTGATGCTAATGAAGACCTTTTCCACCGACACCGACAATATCGCCGTCTCCTCATTTTGCTTTGCTTCTTTTGTAAACATATCAACTCCCAGACCGCAATCCGGAGTAATCCGTGATTCCATAACCCACCGGCACCACAGCCCATCGCATGGTTTGGGATGTTTTCCCACTTATCCTCACAGAAGATGGAAACTTCTTTCCCACTTGGTGGCATTCATCCATTTCACACATGATGATGTGTTATTCGTGCGATTCGCATCGAAATTTTCTCATCGTCGTTGTCCCTGTCGGTCGTCAAATTTGGACGATTTTTTTCCCAGAAGAGAAAGATTGATGAAAGTCAAGTCACAACAGCTTTTACCTACAGAAAATGAATGGAACATCCTTTGGTGCTCTTTCTCTCTCTCTCTCTCTCTCTCAAGGGTATGTGTTGTGTCAGGTTGTGTGAGTATGTGTAGGTTTTCTGCGTATTAAATTGAACATCGACGGGTGGGTGGATGTGGCAAGATTTTGGTATCTCCGAGGGGATGATCATAAGTATGAAATTGATTCCTAAGAATGTTGATAGGTTTATAATTTTCAAGATGCTTTGTGAAATAATTTGGAAAGGAAAGCGAAATCAATGCAAGTACATTTCTGTCGTAATAGGGGAATTTACGTATTCTCGGCAACCTAAGCAGCGACCTTCTTTCTATAGCCTTTTGCTCTATGGAACGCACACATATGCAGGTTTGGTTTGTTTACAATCTTTGCTGCCAGCTGCTCTAACAATTTCAGTCGAAAGAATTGTCAAACACTGTTTTGAAACGCTTTTAAAAAAGCTCCAATCTTCTCTAGTGAGAGCGAGTATTGTCGGCAACCAGTTTTTCTTCGGCAACCGTTCCATTTGAACTGCACGTAAATCTGCTGTTCTATTATCGGCAACTCGAAATCAGCTACAATTTGTAGTGCGTGTGTTTCATTTCAAGAAAACCCTGCTAGATTGCTTTTTCTCAGTGGTAAAAATATAGTCAAATTGAAGCTGAAAGCATAAAGAATCGTTTGCATGCATTCAGCGAAGTGTTTTCGTAAGAAAATCCAGTGAAAATAGTGTTTCAATTTGGGTTGCCGAAAATAGTCTGTCATGCCGAAACCGTCATTTCCCCTAATTGTTTTTTTTTTTTCAAGCAGCAGATTTAACTAAAATCTAGTCACATTTCTTGTCTATTTCTTTTCTGATAATACAAATGCTTAAGAGGCAACTAACCATCACTCGATTTGCTTTTGCTTCTTCTTCTTGCAATCCTAAATCATCACTTTCTAAAAGTATTGGTAAAATTCGTTGGTAGCGTGCGTCGCCGTGCCAAAGCAGTCAATGAATCGTATATATCAACTGGTATGGTGGGCAAAATCTGCCGTCTCTTTTATTCTTCTACTTTTCAATACAACAGCAAATGTGACGTCACACATGCACGTGTATAAGAATGTCGAAGACAAAACATTCACACTGCCAGACTACGGTGTATGACCACCCCTGAGCGGGAAAGCAAATAACATGCTACATGCAATGCTGCCATCTCCCCTGTTTGTGTTTAATTCAATCTTTGTTTACCTTTGTAATTGGAACGTTTAAGTTCCAAAATAGGACCTTTTATTTTTATTCATTCAGTTTTTGATATTTATTCGCCATTAAAAACATCCACTCATCTAAGTTATTGGGTTAAACTTCGTATTGGCATGTTTAAAAAAAAATATATTCAATGCTAGAGGTAATACATCTGGCAACGCTTGATTCAATGATTCTTCTACGTTCGCTAGCAAAGAAGTGGAAACGAAGTGATTTTCTTGGTGTTTTGTTTTGTTCACCAAGAGATTTGATTTGCAGTTTTTATAAATTTAGTGTATACGATTACATGAAATTGTGGAATGCTACGAATAACACAAGTAAGTAAATGCAGTGATAGTGTTTTACCCAGAAAATATACGATGTAAAATCATGAAATACTTGCTTTAAATTTTCGGATGGCTTGTGTGTGAATGTATGTGTATATTAATGATGATGATTGAAGAAGATTTCAAAAACAAGAAGAATCCCAATTGATTGACTGTGTCTTGAACCTTAACTGTATTCAAAATATTCTGAGCGTTAAAAATAAGTTTGGTTATGTCAATTATTATCACTAGTGTTTCATTAATGCGATGTCAACTATTTGTACACAGAAGATAATTCATATACAGAAAAAATCGCATCAATTTGTATGATGTTTTTTACTGAATATTCATACAGCTGTCAACCAATCCATTCATGCAATTTGGTTATTAATTATGTCACAAATATACATTCATTTAAGTAGTGATAGAACTTTAGTTTTCACAAGCCCTAAGACTAGCATGAACTCCGAACAAATTGTGAAAATTAAGAATAGATGGTTCAAAATCGAAACGAAATCTCTCACAGCTACCCTAAACTTTTTTAATGAGTTCACTTAGCACTTCCGCTAAAAGTCTATTAAGTTTCTTCATATGGTTTAAAAAAATCCTTAATTGGATAAGCCTGTACAAGAAAACACATTAAACAACACCCTATATCAGCGTTTCTCAATCCATGGGTCACGACCCATAGGTGGGTCGCAGAATTCCAAACAGCTTGAAAAACAAATTATTTAAAAAATCCGAAAACTAAAGGAATTTTTTTTATGCAAATCTCAACTTCTTATCGGAATCTTATCTTATTATACAGCCATGCCATAGCAAAACGATATAGTGGTTCTTAGAATTTCGTTAAAATGGGTAGATTTGTTCCTTATCGCAAAATATTGTACAAGTATTTTTAAATTTTGCCATTAGGGTGTCCATTTCCATGTTGGGGTGGTCCAAAAAATCTTCAAAAATGTATATCATTTGAACCACTTTTAAAAGATCAAAATATCAAATGAAAGGAAAATAAAAATAATTTTAAGAAAAATATTTATCGATATTGAAATATTGGCATTTTGTATTAAAAAAACATTGATTGTATTTGTTTTTTTTTATGGTTTTCATGGTTTGTAGACAGAGAGTGCAATATGTTTTTTTTTTTATATTTTTCATTGAAAATTTAGGGTTTTTTTACACAACATATAAAAAAATAAGTGATGTGTTTTTTTTTGTTTTTGAGTTATATTTTTTCAATGTTATCAAATTTTAGTTTTTTGCTCAATACTAGACTACCATGCGCCTCCATTGATACACACCTAATATAGTCACATAATCTATACCTATTTGATTCGATCAATATTTATTTATTTTTAATTACCTTTCATTTGATATTTTGATCTTAGAAATCAAAAGTTATGAGCTTTTGAAAAAAGTCATTAAAAAAATAGATTTTTTGGACAAACCTGGAAATGGTCACAAGAACAAAGCTACAAATTCTTACGACATTCTGAGAACCTCCATATCGTTTTGCTATGGCTGTTAAAAATAATTTAACAATTTCAATGCTATTTGTGGAATTGGATATTTGGGTAATTTATAAGGGATCTTGTGCTGTTTTCAAGGGTGTTCTATCCTTGGATTTCAACAATATTCTGGCGTTTCCAGGCCATTTTGGCATTTCGGAAAGTCAGTGAAATATGAATGATTCAGTTGTGCATTGGATAGTCAAATTTTGGTTTTTGGGTCGTTTTTGGCATTTCAAAGGTCTTATGAGATTTGTCGCATCCAATATTATTATAAGTCGTGTCAGACTGTTCTGATGATTTCAAGGGAGATTTATCATGTTCAAACCTGTTCTAGGCCATTTTGGTATTTATAAGGCCATTTTTGGTGTTTGGACATTTTAAAGATAACTTCGGTGTTTTATCCTGTGGATGCTTCTTAAAGCCTAAGGGTAGCTGAATCTTAATAAGCTCCTGAATTTCTGACAGTTTATGCAAACAATGGTTTTAAAGTTCTACCAAACTTATCGTTGTGCATCATTTTAATAGTAACGGAATTTCTTGGAGTTCCAAAGAGTTCAAATGTTTGCTGGAGCTACATATATTCTTGAAGCTCAGAACATTATTTCAGTTCTTAATGTTCCGGGCGTTCTACAGACACTGTAGTCATACAGTACCAGAATATCTTGGAGATCCTAAAAGTTCTTCGTGGAAGTTATGGTTCTTCAAGGATGTTTTTAAAGTTATCAGAGCAGTTGCCAGGAATGCTATGGGAGCTGACATTCAAGAAGTTCTGAACAATTCAACAGTTCTTATTGATCTGGAAGTTCTGTAGATCCTATAGTTCTACAGTACCAGTGGGAGTTCTCACAAGTTCTAAAGGTTACTGAATAATGAGAGGTTCCTATAGTTCTTTTCTGAAAGTTTACGGAGATTTCAGAGTCTTGACCACAGTATCCAGGATTTATAAGGGTTCCTGGTGTTCTTTGCGTTCTAAAACTTGTTGGTATTCTCAATGTTCCTTTTATAAAGAACTGCAGTTCTATAAATCTTAAGTGACTTTTTTTATAATACCAGAATATCTAGAATTTTGGAACTGATCCATAAAACATCCAGAAGGTCTGGAGAAGTGAATCCCAACCAGGATACCCCGAGAAACCATTCACGGGAAATTACGGAAAAATCACGTTTCCCGACTGCCAGTTTCAGATTTAAATTTTTTAACGATAGTTACAAGAATTTTTCCAGAGGAGCCAAAGGAAACTTCTGAGGAGCTTAAACTTGCTCCTTCTTAAGGAGCTTAAACTTGTTGCTCCTTCCTTAAACTTCCTGAGAAGACTGAAGATCATCTAAAGAAAATCAAAAAGATGTTCCACGAGGAGTCTGAACAGTTTACCGGGGAAATACAGAAGGAATTTCCTAGGAAGACTAGCAAAAATAATCTGGAGAATACAGAATACATTTCCATCGAAGCCAAAAGGACTCAAGCAAGTCAGAAGAAACCTCCCATGATGTCACTCTTGATAGTCGATAAATATAATTGCATCGCCGGAAGCGCGAAAGAGTGAAGCATATCATTAAAATAATACAAATCGAAAATGCTGATATTTAGTCCATTTCAACATAACTTCCTTAGCATTATTGGCTATGTATTCCGAATTTTAAAATTTTCGATAGTAGGTCATGAGTTGTACTATTAAATTTACTAACATCGATTCAAACCTGTCTGACTAAAATACAAAAAAAAAGTTGAATATCTTTCAATTCTATAAATCTCCATTATAGTAGAACAAGAACAATAATTTTAACTGGAAATTCCACAATATGAATCAAAAATTTATCTAAACGTCTCCAAAACTTGCACCAGGATAGTTCCAATCTGGTTTTTGTAAACCACCAAACCTGCTCAGCTTAAGTTCCAATTCACTTGCCACACCACCCGGAAGCACGAATAGCAATTAATCGAAACCTGTAAATAGCATTATCCAGTGCGACAGGTCTGTCCGTTCGGTCTATTTATTCATACCTACATGTGTGTAAACTCATAATAAATACCACCTCCGGTATTCCCCCATCTCTCTGTGTCTCTTTTCACTGTAGGTGATATTTCGCCAACACCGTCACACGGTGGCACTGCGGCCACTCCAGTTGTAACCGGTAGTGGTTCGTCGGGCGTTGGAGTTACCACATGGTTCCATGCCGGTGCATCCAGCTCTTCAATGGTAACAGCAGCATCGACGTCGTCCACGCCGGCGGCAACAACTTCATCACCGGCCATACCATTATCATTAAGAGGTTACCACCCTACTCTATGGGCTCACTTATAAATAAACATCTCGATGTACTACTTTTCGGTTTCTCCGCACTACTACTTTGCCGAGTGTCATCAGCAGTTTTCATCTGTATTCGTGGCTTAAGTTTAATGTCTTCTCTATACTTGACTTATCCCTAGTAATCTCTAAATTTCCTTTTTATATGTTGATTTATGAGAAGCTTTTCTGACCATGTTAATTACTGCAATTTGTCGTAGCTCCGCCACACCTGTCACTTGTTGATGTTGATTCACAAACAAATCATCCTCTTTCAAAGGTCATCCATTTAGTCATTGCATCAGCACCCACACTCAACAAACTTAACCGCGACCAATGTTAACCTTTCTATGCAATAAATTAATCGTCAGAGGAGATTGATAAAGCACAATCAGATCCGATCCATAGTCAAGTCAAGCCAGAGACAGCTTTCACCGCACCTCCCGTTGTGAATGGAGAGCTTCAAAACAGCGTGGCTTCTCCACTTTGTTGAAATGGTTATATACTACCCATACATTCATGGTGGAGTGTACTTCTTAAAGCTTGATAGCCTTTTTGCAATACTATCCACACAGTGCCACACCACAGCGTGGTGGGAAATTTTTATGTCAATAGGGAATTTTTTATCGCTGCGCTTGACTGATTGATAGCGTTGACGGTACATTTAGCAGACATGAGAATATCAACTTCATTCGGGCAGCGATTAGTCAAGTGTTTGTGGCGGAAATTGTCGGACAATTGAAGAAGGAGCATCCACCCTTACTGTAACTCACAATTTGATGCTACACACAAGAGTCGCCAAGTCAACACATCAAACCATGACCATAAATCTAACACACATCAGGAGAAGGCAATGATAATAATATTTTACAAAAATTAACACTAAGTGTCCTTTTCAGAGTTGGTCATCTATTTTAATGGTTCTAATCAGTAGCATTAGTTAATTCACTGCCATCAAGCATTTTCATCCACTTTAACAACCACAGTCTATGTAGTTCACTTCATATCTTACCCAGTACCCCTGTAGTGCATCACTTGCCAATCCTCTGAATGAGGAATATGCAAGCAAACGAACAATTAAAGACAAATCGAACCGAATTCCTTCGATCATCGCTCGTTGCATTTCTAGCTCAGCTAACTTTATCGCTTCTAACATGTAACATTCCGTCCCTTAAATGTGTATATCCAAACATCTATTCTTCCAGTTGACGATCATCAACAGCAACAACAGCATAGCTTACATTCTGCCTCCCAACCGGTCTTGAAAAGTGCCAGCAATAGTAGCAATATTAACGCCACAACCTCGGCCAAACCCGGCGGCAACAATGGAAAACTTTTGACCGTACCTGGAAGACCTTCCGGTAAAAAATGATTCTACTTTTACACGCACATACATATACACACAAAACTCGCATCCAAAATGCCCAAAATGCGCAAAAATCAATGTCATGTTTCGTTACCCTTGCGTTGTTTCCGTTGTTTTGTCCATAAAGTTCCAATTTTAGTAACAATCAAAACAGGGAAAAAACATTCAAGTGTTGCTCAATTTACTAGCTGAACATTGCGTCCAACGTCACGCAATAGTCAATGTATGTGACAAAAAAGTCAATTACATACAAACGATTACTGACAAACTTCCTTTTCCATCCATAACTTGCTTCCCATTAACTGTAAACGATAGCGTTTGACGTGATGTAGAACCAATATTTGTGAGCTGGCTCAGCTGGAAACTTCCTTCAATACAAACATGTGACTCGACAATTCATCATTGAACTACTAATCTATACAGTTCCAGACGCCAGTGATACTAAAACAATAACTACTTAAACGTATGCTAGGTCGTAAAACAGTCCACAATCTGACAATGGAATCAAGTACCTCAAGGCTGTAAAACTGTAGATTCTAACAACGATAACTAATTCGATTTACAACCACATTTAACAAGGAGAATGATCCGGTAATTGTTACCCTTAATTTATTTTCTCGAAATGAAGTGATGCATCAAAGCCATGGAGTGGAAATTTTTATGGCTCAAGCACCGCACCATTCAATTCGATGCCCTATCCACACGGTGATATCCCACGGTTAATGACAAGACAAAGAAAAAGCGAAAAAAAAACATTCAGTTGCTTGCGAAAAAGTGACTCACGCCGTGTCCAAAGTGGCGGATTAATCAAATTTCATGTAAACCGATTTTTCTTCGCCAAATGATAGTTTGGTTGCTTACATTCCTAAATCGTTTGGTTTTAAAATATTATGCCGGAGGAAATTTTTTGTGCATTTTTGTGTGAGGTGATTTTGGCTCTTTAGAGCCATAACCTATTATTTGTATAGAAAATTATATTAAAATTGAGTAGACAGAATATTTTAAAATGAACCGATTGAGGAATTTGAGGACCCAAACTACCTATTGGCGAAGAAAAATCCCATGTTCAAAGTTAATTAATGCGTTTCGGACACAGTGTTAGACCCACACCGCTAACGACCGACCTGAGTGAACTTTTGAAACAAAGATTACAATATCATGTGAAAAAAAACATATTCATAATGAATAGTAACCAATACTCGAAAGTGGTATGTAATGGTTAGAAGTGGTACAATTTTAGCACATTTCTCGAAAATCTTGTTTTTTCTAGCTTTGTGCTATGGGAAAAATTTCAACTAACTTGGTTCATTGATTCACATAATATCAGTTTTCCAAAAGTTACTCCACAGAAGTGTTTCACTAAAAATGGTGAAATTTAATTCCGAAAATCAAGCCCAAAACTGTACCGACATATCTAGAATATTTTATTAACCAGCAGCTAAGATTTCAGAAGTGTTTATGCACATCCAGAAAGATTACAGATATTTAAACTTGTTCGTAAAAGGAAAAATATAACAAGATTTTACCGTTATAATCCGAATTTCGGGCGGTTCGTTAAACCGAATATTCCATTATTTTTTAAATACTTGCAGACCCGGCAAACTTCGTACTGCCTTGAATGATGATGAATAGTTCAAATAATAAGTTGACATTTTTTCAAAATTGTTTCTGATTTTGTTTTAAAGTGTATTCCCTTCTTAACCTTTAAGAAGTAGTTTCGTATGATTTCCTGATCCTTTAACATTTTTCAAAATAACATTATTGTGAAAACCTTTTTATGTTGTTTTTTTCTTTAATTTTTTACAGTTTGGTAGAACAGTACAAATATGAAATAAAACGCTCATGATTAAAAGAAGGAATAATGAACAATTAAATAGTTATTTCCTTCTTCTGAACGTGAGTTATACCTTGCTAAGTTTGATGTAAGAGTATTTATATGGAAGAACACTGCCGTTCTACGCATATCTGTCCCATGTTACTTTTGGACGTTTTTCACTTTTGTTCATAAAACAGTACTTTTTTAGGTAAACTTTCGAATGAAAATAGAAAAACATGTTATTTGTTTTGAGCTTATTTAAAAACAACATCAAATCTAATTGTCCCATGTTGAAATTCTACGGATAACTGTCCCACAAAGAATTTTTTACTGAATCTTTTATTAACGAATCGATTTGAGTGCACGAATGATTGAAACAGGATTTATATGATCAAAAGAAACTCAATGAGTCATTTCGGGAAGTAGAAGCTTTATTTTATGATGTAACGGGAATTCATATTAAAACACCAGATTATAGTTCAGATGTCAAACTGTGCATTATTAGAGTAATAATAATCAATTGATACGAAGCAGTGTAATGATCTTAACATAAACCAAAGACAAAATAACATGATTTGAAATTCAATTGTATAAAGCAACGATGTATAAACATCTTCCAATATTGGTATGATTGAAAAAGTACGTATTATTGCCTAAAACAACTCGAATCAACGCAGTTAACAATGATGCCACTTTCTGTCACTTGATGAGTTCATTATTCTAGTTGATAGCTGCTACCATATTTTGTAGTTAAATTATGGATCCTGTTGACTGATTCAGAATATCCGTTGTCGTATAGTCCTTTCGTAAATTTAGTCGTTAGAATGCTCTCAATATCCTACCGTTGTTGCATTTGGTTGAATATAATGAAATCCTTACTGTGTATGTTAACTTTTCCAAAGTCTTTCTTGAAATCATCGATCGACAATCTTATTGTGATCTGCACAGAGCATTCATCATTTGTTTCTCAATATGCCCATACTTATAGGCTTTATAGATGTAGCAAACGACGATTGCAGCAATGTCAACTCACTTATTGTTGGTTTCAGTTAATGATGCAAACCTATGCAAACTATCCACTTTCAAAACTTCACGGAGAACTCAAGTACGCTCATGTAAACACAACTACAACCACAGGAGTAAAGACGTCAAACGCAACGTGGCCATCAAAGCAACACGGAAAGTAATAGTTCTTAGTGGGACTGATATGCGTAGAATTTCCTACTTCATAGCAAATTTCTCGGCATAACAGTCCCACTGAATTGTTTTCGTATAAAAATAGGCTTGACTAGTTTCATTGAAGGTAATTTCTGTAGTTTTCACTTAAACAAATTGATTCTGTTGAAATGCGAACAATGCACTAACTTATATTAACTTATATTTCTTCCAATGAGCAGAAATAATTCTAAAAAAATATTCGCGATTTTCTCAAATGTTACTTTTAGAACATGGGACAGATATGCGTAGAACGGCAGAACAGCTTATGCTATAAATAATGCAAAATTATAAATTCAGAGAAATGGATTACTCTGGGTGATGATTTCCGGATTATTCGGAGTAGTATGTTTTGGGAAACTTTAATGCTGTTTTTGATAGATTTAGGAAAATTATTTTGAACTATTGTAACTTCCTTACTATAATAGCTGGATCCGTTAATTTCGGCTCTTTACTTTTGCATCAATAAACTTGTTTCTATGCTTTGCTGGTACATACTTGCCGGGATGTGATATTTGAAAAATGAATAATACTGAATGGACCTATACTAACCCCTAGTCTTCATTACTTAAAGAAACAACGAATATCATTGTTTTCGAAAATTATACAGATTAATCATTGAAGTGCTAAATAAACGAAATTTTTAGTTTTGCCGTCTGGAGCAAATACATACAGTGTAGAGCTTTTGCCCACTCGTGAACATGCAACATATAACTGACCATGCGAGAAACATGGAAATTCCACATTCAATCCGCAAATATCCAATGACTGTCCTTCCGCTTTGTTTACAGTCATTTCAAACGCAAGGCGAACCGGAAACTGCACACGTTTGAATTCAAAAGGCAAATCGGTTGGTATCATTGGAATGCGCGGAATTAAAACGTCCTCACCCTTTATACTTCCCTTAAGAAATGTCGCTTCAATGACGTTGTTCATCAGTTTCTTTACAACCAACCTGGTAACATTGCAAAGACGAGGTTGATTGATATTGAATTCAAAAATTCAGTGGGGTAGTTCACGACATCTTCTTCGTTTTTAACGGAATCTATAGATTTGTATGAGCGTAACTGGCCAGAAATTTCGTAACGTGCTTCAGCGTTACGGTGTCGTGTGGCCTCGTTCATTTTTAGCCACTGTTCCGCATTTTGGCTCCACGGATGGTTCTCTGTTGGCTCGCATTGCGTGTGCAACGGCCAATGTTCGCACGTTTCACTTTGGGCATCGTTGGTATACGACGGCAGAACTAAAAGTAATGAAAATTGTGAATTTAACCTCGTAACAAGCTGGAAAGGTTTCAGAAGAAATTGAACTTACCACTTGAGATTAAATAGCTCCAACAGTCTCACTTCTATCACAGCCGGTATGCCTTAAACACTGCTGAAACTGATATGACAATATTGAATTTCGGCACAAATCACTTGTATATTGCAAAATTCTAGTAGATTTTTTTTTCACAAATCAATGTTTGGACAGGCCACTTTCAAATAGAAAAATTTAATCTAAACGTCGGCGATCGATTGTGAATGACAGTAGCTGATGCGGTCGCGGTTTCGTATATTTGCGATACCGCCTCCTAGATCAAAGTGGATTCAAAGGCGTTGGATCCTTTTGGGGCCCACGGCATTTCTGGGACTCGCGGGTTTTGAATGTTCCTGGGGGTTTCTTCTACGGCGGGATCAAGACGAACGAATCCATGTTTAAATATTGCAAATCCGCCTATCCGTTCTCGAGTTAAATCGTGACATACACAACGCAAATCCATTTTTATTTATATAGAAGAAGAAGATGACATCCACTTGGCAAGATAATTATTGTGCGTAATAATTCTGAACGATACTAAAAGATCATGATAAAACTTACGTGTTATTTTAAGCATAGTAGGAAGTGATAATCAGCTTTGAAAAATGTCCAAATTGATTATGCCTTCGGCCGCTACTATACATACACAATACTATTTTTCATTG